GGGACCCCAAACACTGCCCCCGCCCTGGGACCCCAAAACTGCCCTCCTGGCAACCCAGAACTGCCCAGGGACCCCAGAACTGCCCCCACCAGCACCCCAAAACCCACCAGGCACCCCAAAAGCCACCAAGTACGTCCCCAGATACCACAGGAGCAGCTGTGAAGGAGGTTTTTCACATCAGGGCCTGGTTGAGTGAATTTAGGGCTGCTTTGTGTGTCAGGGCCTGGTTTAGGCTGTTTGGGGGTGGTTTTGTGTGTCAAGGTGAGCTTTGGGTCTATCAGGACGTGTCCTTGGTCCCCAAATGTCCCTGACGTGGGACCGTGGCATGTCCCCACGCTGGGCTGTGCCCTGAGGCATTGTCCCCAAATGTCCCCAGCGTGTCCTGGCACATCAGGACATGTCCTCATGGCACTCTGAGGTGTGTCAAGCATATCTCTGCATGTCCCCAGTGTGTTCTGGCACGGCTTCACACCAGGCCATGCCCTGAGGTGTGTCCCCAAATGTCCCCAAGTGTGTCCTGGCGTAGCTCCGTACCAGGCCATGCTCTGTGGCATGTCCCCAAATGTCCCCAGGCATGTCCTGGCATGGCTCCACACCAGGCCATGCCCTGTGGCGTGTCCCCAGCGTGTCCTGGCATGTCCCCACACCAGGCCACATGCCTCAGGCACCTCAGGCCACATTGTCCCCTCGTGTCCCTTCACGGGCCACACTCTGAGACGCATCAAGTTTGTCACCCCACGTGTCCCCACGTGTCCCCGACATGTCCCCACGTGTCCTCGGTCCTGCCAGCCCTGGCTCAGTGATGCTGAGGACGCGCCGTTCCTGGACCCCGTCCTGCGCAAGCGCGCCGTGAAGGTCAAACACGTCAAACGCCGCGAGAAGAAGTCAGACAAAAAGGTGAGGGGGCACTGGGAGCTACTGGGAAGGCCACTGGGAGCTACTGGGGGTTACTGGGATGCTCCAGGGGTTGCTGGGAGGGCTCTGGGTGGTTGCTGGGTTACGAGCAGTGGTTACTGGTTGGTGACGGGTGGTTACTGGTGCTCACTGGTGTGGAAGGAGGAGTGGCGGAATGAGCACTGGGAGGATGCTGGGAGGTAACTGGTGCTAACTGGTGTGGAATGAGGAGCACTACTAGTGGCACCGGCAGCGGGCACAGCACTGGGAGGGCTCTGGTGGTTACTGGGAGGTTACTGGTGCTAACTGGGGGTTACCGGTGGAGAAGGAAGAGAACTACAAGCAGCGCTGACTTTGTTGGGCTATGACTGGTGGTGACTGGGAGGTTACTGGGCTATGAGTGGTGGAGACTGGGTGATTACTGGGAGGTTACTGGGAGGTTA